TAAACCCTAAACCCCAAGAAGAGCCCAGGATCCTCTTCCCCGGCGGCGCCGTTGAGGCTGCTGGCCTGGGGCTGCTCCTGGCCGGGGGCTGGACCGCCGCCGTGGCCGGCGCCGCGCGCCTGGTGGCCCTGTTCCTGGGCTCTTCTTGAGGGATGTAGTGTCTAGGTTTTAGGGGTTCAGGGGTTTAGGGTTTAGGGGGTTAGTTTTCAGGGGTTTAGGGGTTTGGGAGTTTAGGGTTTAAGGGTTTAGGGGGAGGGGGGGGGGGGTTCAGGGTTTAGTTTTTTGGGGGTTTAGGGTTTAGGGGTTCTTCTTAAGTTACCGTAATAGGGATTTATAGCACAAGTTGCCATAGTATTTCAAGGGAAGCCCTTCAACAAAAACTCAGGTTGGCCCCACAGCTGCCGGCGTCCGAGGCTGCCGCTGCGGCCAAGGCCGGCCCGAGGCGGCTGGTGCCTGTCTGCGTGGCGTGGCTGCTGCTTGCGGCGGCCACGTCTCCCTTCGGCGTCTGGCCGGAGCTCCTGCGCTAAACCGAAGTAATATAGAGGATTATAGTAGGCCCGAAACCCTAGACCCTAAACCCTAAATCACCGCAGGAGCTTTGGGGCGGTGACGAAGAGCAGAGCCGACAACTTCGGGGCGCCGGCCTCGCGGCGCTTGGCGTGGGGAGCTTCGCCCTGGCGGTGCACCAGGGCCTGCAGCTGGGCGCAGTATGGTATATAGTAAACAGCAAAAAGTTGGAAACCGGATTAACTAAAAGAAGAGTTAGCGCCCTGATGCCGGCTCTACTTCCCTAAATCCCACACCCTCAAACCATAAGCCGTGAGCCATTGAATCATCAAACCAAACACATCACACCCCGAACCTCCTCAACCCCTGAAAGCCTTCAGTCCCGAACAGGGCCCGTTATTTCAGCTGCCGGTATCGGCTTTCAAAGTCGTATTGGGCATCTGTTTATACATTGGTTACTGACTGTAAGCGTTCTGAAATAATAGGCCTCATTTTTAAGCCGCTCTAGAACCTCTAAACCTTAAACCCTAAACCCCTGCAATCCCTAGAAACTTAAGGCCTTATCGAGCCTCTATAAACAACTTCCAGACCGTCTATACCACCTGATGAGAAAAACCTTCACAGAACGAATCTCTCTGACTGTAAACCCTTATAAAGCATTTTCTCGCTAAGCTCTAGACCCTAAATCGAACCCCATACCCTCAACCCTAAACCCTAGACCATAAATCGAATCCCATACCCTCAGCCCTAAACCCTAAACCCCCGCTTCTTGTAACTCCAGGCCCGGACACATCTGCTTCCTGGCGAACGGCGTGGCCACCATCTGCGGGGCCGCGGCGATGGCCTTCGCCAGGGGTGAGAGCTACAGCCAGGTAGTCAAGAGACGCTCGGACTCTTCTGGCCTTGTTTTTGGTATTTTGTAAGAGGCCTTACGGGGTTTGAGGGGTTTGTATGCTTTTTTGAGGGCTCTCAGGTTGCTTGTGTGCTGTTTCTGGTCGTATAGGAGTCTTGGACTGTATCTAGTCTTCCAAGATGTACGGATACTGAGACGCTGGGACCCTGCGCCGCCCCAATTTCTTTGTACGTCTTTAAACTGAATCCTAAGCTCCGAACCGCCGCAGGTTGTGTATCATGGGGTCTTGGGATTTAAGCCCTCAGCCCCAATCCCTGAACCCTGAAGCCAACACTGGAACCCTAAACCCATGTGATCACCCTAAGCCCTAAACCTTAAACCCGAAACCTCAAACCCGAGACCTTAACCCGTAGACCTTGAAGCCTAAACCCTAAACCTTAAANNTAAACCCTGAACCCTAGACCCTATGCACCCTCTTGAGAAAAGCAAGGAGACTACCTGGTGGGGGCTGCCGGGCCTCCGGGAACTGGCGACATGCTTCTCTGGTGCCATGGGCTGAGCTCTTGGTTCAGGGTTCAGGGTTTA